TGCCTTTGTTTTGGCTTCGGGTGTTATGTGAGCTGTATTTCATTGCTTAGGGCTATTATGGATTACATTTTAATACAATTGTGGCTTCTTAAACAAAATATGGTTTCACTGGATACTGGCTTTCAATCTAGTAATTACATGGGATGGATAACGTTAACATGTTTTCTGGGGAAAGGAGCAGACACAAATACATGCAATCTGAACATTTAGAACATTAGGAAGGGATTGGTTCATTCAATCACCCATAGAGTTGATTTTTAGACATGATACTGAGCCAACCAATGGATTGTGGTCTTTGATCTTCCTTTGGATAAATGCACAGGAATGGGTGGGTAAGATTAGGAGCAGACACATTCCTCCCAAATGATAATCCATTGCTACCTTTTGCAAAAAAAATGTCCTTTGGGAAAGGATTAAAATAGTGGGAATACCAGGAAACTGATAGTCAAGCACAGGCATGAAGAGATTGAAAGACAGACATAGCTTATTAATGTCCCTTGTAGTATTTGACTTTTAAACAAGTGCTTGGTTGAGCTTTTAAGAAAAGAGCATCTTAAAAGTGCTTCTGTTGACATATCCATAAAACATCAAAACTAATTATCAGTCATCAATTCTGGTATTCTATTTTCTGTATCACCAGCCCTATCTGGGTCCACCCATTACTCTAAACTATCATATGGTTTGTTCTATAATGTACACTGCATATACCCAGCTGTTTCTATATGTAGATCATGATTTATGGCTTGGCGCAAAGTGTGAATCCAGCCCCATGCATTGGATGTTCAGGATTGCCTGAAATTTTCAAAGGGCTAACAATACCCAACTGCAGCAAACCCAGCTTTACAGATTTCATATTAAACCTGCCAGAGCAGAGTTTCAAAATGCCACAGTGTCGTGCATGGTACGATAAGCTTTCCTTTGAAGTGTTTAGACGTTTCAGCTAGGATTAAATAATGCAGTGGTTTACCTGATCTAAGACCTGGACCTCTTATCTTGCCACTTTGAAACTAGAAGAACAGAGATAACAGGGCATAACAGACTGACTCCTGGGGATTAGGTGGCATTGAGTTGAGCAAGCAACAGAAGAATCTGTAAAAGTTCTAACCAAAGTAATGACAACAGGTCCAGAAACCAGTCTTAGAATTGGCAATTAAGATAATGAAGTGGTGGATACAGAGTCGATCCACCTTGCTGCTGCACATCCTTTTCTTTTTCCTTCCACCTTTCCCACCATTAGAGAAACCGGTCTTCTCATAATGTATTCAAAATAAGATACTTTGAGCCTGATCATTTTTGCCTCAAGTGAGAATTCTGGATTTATTTGTTTTACGATCCATTTGTCTGTTTTCTTGTCTGTCCATAGTATTCTCAGGAGTCTTCTCCAATACTGTTAAAAACCTAACACTCTTTCTATCATGCTTTTTCAAAGTCCAGCTTATGCTACCATAGCATCAAAGAACTAATCATTGTCTGCACAATTCTAATCATTGTAGGTATAGATACATCACAGCATCTGAATATCTTTTCCAAGGCCTTCATTGCTATCCTGCCAAGTGCCAATCTATGATGTATTTCTTGATTGCTGATCCTAACAGGCAGAAGCTATCTATCACTTCACTTCAGTAACTGCATTGTCAATTCAAAGGCCGGTTGCCATACTTGTTGTCATTATTTTGGCCTTACTTATACAGTATTTAATCTTAATCTCGTTTTTTCCAATGCTTCTTGATTTTCATTACTAGAACTTGCGGGTCATTTGCACTTTCAGCTGCCAGAGTAGCACCACCAGCATAGTGCAGACTACTGATCTGTTTTAGTCCAATTTTAAAACCACACTCAACTTCTTCCAACCCAGCTTCCCTCAATATATATTCAGCATATAAATTGAATAAATAAGGGGAAAGTATATAGCCTTGTCTCATTCTTTTGCCAACCAGGAGCCAGTCTGTTTTGCCATGTTCCAAAAGACTGGGGCTCTCTGCCCAGTCTATAAGACTTTACATGAGGACAGTGAGATTTCCAGGATTCCCATTTTCTTAAGCACATTCCACAGCTTGCCATGGTCAAAACAATCAAATGCCTTTCAGTAATCAAGTAAGCACATATTGATGCCTTTTGGTATTATTTGGCTCAGTTATCCAGTGTGCATCATAATAATGTCTCATGCTCCTCAGCTTTTTCTAAAGCCAACTTGAACATCTGGCATCTCCCTTTCCATGTAGGGCTCTAATCTGCATCAAATAATCCTAAGCATTATTTTGCTAGCATATGAAATTAAGGATATTGTGCAATAGTTTGCATAGTCTATTAAGTCTCCCTTCTTTGGCATTGGTACATAGACTGACCTCTTCCAACCTGTTGGCCGCTGTGTGAGATTCTCCAGGTTTCTGGGCATAGTTTGGTTAGAATCTTTACAGATTATTCTACTATTGCCTGCCATATTTCTGTAGCTATTCCATCAATTCCTTCTTATATGGCAATGTGTGGAGTGCTGATCTATTTTCATCTTCTAGTATTATTAGAGGTTCTTGTGAATAAGGAGTATCTTTTAAGGTATCTTGGATGCTGACAACTCTACTGTACAGAATTTCAGTGATGGCAGAACTCTTGCTAGTTCTCTCCTGCTGTAATGGTTTATGGTACATTAAACACTTCCTGGAGAAAAGGGGAAGGAATTCTCTAATCCCAAAGTGGTGGTTTTTGCCTTGGTGTGATTGTGTACTGCAGAACCTGTAGTAAGGAGATCTGACTTAGTGCCTGAGTTAACTGTGATGTGGAACAGGGCCACTGTGACAATGGCACACTAGCTTTCAGGATTCGAAGGGCAGATGGACAGTAGAGGCTGTTTTATAGAGACACAGAATGAAAATTCCCCAAACTAACTACTCTAAAAAATAATGCTAAAAGTTGGAACGCCTGAATAAATATAGAAGTATTTTCTTGGTATTTCATATTAAGAATTCTTTATCTTTGGTCAGAGTTCATTAGTATCAGCTAATGGATCTGAGAGGATGTTTTAAGAATGTTACAGAAACATTATTAAATGCTAGTATAATGTATTGTTCTGTTGGCTAACATGGTCAGTATATAGTGACACACCCAGGTCTAATCTAAACATAGTGAGGGGTCATGGCTTTAAAGTCAATGAATTTCAAATGTTTTTAAGGAACAGCAGTCTAGAAAGGCAGATAGCAACAGAAAATATAACATGCAGTATTTCTGCACATTCTTTAGATAATTAAGAGGAATGAGTTTTTTGAAGAGGACATACAGGGAAATTGGCTTATGTTTGCCCTTTTTTGTCTATAAAGAGATTATCTTTTAATTGGATTTGGGTCTTTGTTCTTTTATTTTGCATACATCTGATTCCATGCCTTTCCCTTGCATTTTCATTTAAAAAATACCATGGCAACATTTCTAATAGTTTTTAAAGGTTTCACAAAGGGAAATTTCTAACACAGCTATTAAACTATGACCTTACAACTAGCATTTCCGTCTTTTGAATCTGTCTCATGCAACGTTAGAACCTCCAATTCCCTCCTGCAGTTGCAAGACATCATTTTAAAATACTTTCTCAATTATTCAAGATGGAAAAAAAAAAGCAAATGTAATCTTGGAAATTATCTGAACCTAAAAATGTATGTACAAGCATATTCCCTCTGTGCTGCACAGCACGGTGGAGAGCTGTACTCTCTTTTTTCTAAGTAATGATCTCACATCGACTTTTCTTTTCATTGAAGGGGAAGTTGTAACTGGTGTCCTTTTCAATTGTGGAAGAAGCAGATAATTTTCCAGTGGTTTGCTTCCCTTGATATGTCTATGTTACTATGACAACAGGAGACTCCAGAGCAAGTTTTTACTTATAGGCTTCAAAGGAAAAAAAAAAAAAAAAAAAACATGATCCATGTTGGGAATGATACAGTGATAATGTAAGTTGATGCTGGAACAAATGAAAGCTTCGTCATCCTGATTTACCAGGAGCCAGCTGATTGGGAATCCTATCAGCAAAGCACAAATACAAGGCTTTTGTTCTCATCTTGTCCCTAATTCTCAACATCTGCTACTCAAGGGAAGAGTGCTTCTCAATGTAAAGGGTTGGTTATTATTTCGGGCAACCACAGCCTTCTTCATGAGTTTATCTAATGCCCTTTTACAGCCTCTGTGTAAGTGTTATCACAATAGTGTGTGGCAGTTAAGCTCTACAGTAATGTTACAAGAAGGTAAAACTTCTATTTTCATTAAGTACCTTCTCTATTAAATTAAGCTGGATTCTGTAAACTGTTCATAATATTAGAATGAAAAATGTCCTATTCATTGGTGCCCACAGCATTGGTATTCTAACTATCAAATAACAACACAGACTTTTACATTTGCTTCAATGTAAGTATTACTATGAATGAATAAAAATTTATAAGCATCCCTGGATTTCCCACTTTTTGTATCCTAGACGTTCATCAGTTTGCTCAAAAGTAAGTTCTAAAAAGTATTTGCAAGGATTCCCCCTTTTACATAAGCAGAACTCCCTTTTAAATTATCTGGGACTACAGATGTGTTATTGGTAATCTTCCCATTCACCCTCTCCTATCTTAAAAAGACATGGCAACTTTTTCTTAATTTTCTATTGCATTTTTGTGTGGACATGCCTATTTAATTGTAATAGTCTTCCATCTGGAGCAAAATGTTAGTAACTTTGGTACAGTACTGTGTTTCTTAAAAACATGTTTCCCTTTCCCTCAATTCAGAGAGTATTAATGCATTTAACGATTACCATTATTCTATCGATGATAAGGATGAGACATATATATTGTGGGGGCCATACATTTTGCTACACCCATTGTTAGTCTAGAGCAGGAGTTCCTAAACTTTTTGCCATCACACATCCCTTTAGTGTAATCTTAATGTACCCTAAAATGTCTCCCCTTAATGTCTCCCCTAAAAATCCAGACTCCAAAATGAACACAAATGAACAATGAAAACAATACAGTGAAACTTTGGGAAAGGTGGATTTATTGTAACAATGTAACTAAAAGGTTCTTTACACTTCCCATGTCTGTCTGCACCTCTCCAAGGGAGGTACACCTCACCGTTTGGGAAACCCTGGTCTATGACGTAACAGGCTGGGCTTAACCTCACACTAAACTGTAACAATGGTTAGAAAACACAACTGGACTTTGATAACATGTACATGAACCCAAAAAAACCCACATCATCTCTATTATTTTGCAACTTGTTCCTGTAGAACTACCTCTAGTACCCTCCCTTTGAAACAATAAGCTCAATCTTGTAAATGCCTTTTCATTTTAAAAATAATAGATTTTCTCTAAGAATGGAAAGGAAGAGAGAGAACAAATGTTTTAGTATAATCTAAAAGAACTCTGAATTTTCCTCCTGTTTTCAGTCAAGGAAGTTATAGCAACTTGAAACACATCCCAGATTTCTCCCTACGGAGAGGAAGGGAATAATTTGGAGGAAGTGGGATCTCAAAGGGAAGGGAGAACCCTGATACAGAATCCAGTAGGGCTGGTTTCCTGTGAGAAATACAGCTATAGATTCATTCTGTGGTGCAGCCATAGATTTGCCGATCATATTGCTCCTAAGTTTTATTATTAGCTACTTCCAATCTTTTAACTCTAGTGTTAAAATTGATATTTTATTGATCCCGTTACACAATTTTTTTCAATACAAAATAATCTTGAACATATTTTAGTCTATATGGTGATGTAGTAAGGATGCTAAATTAGAACCAAGATAATCTAGGTCCATATCTCTGTTCAGTCATGAAGTCATTGGATAACTTTGGCCAGCCCAATCTTTTGCAAGGTTGTTGTGGTGGTGGTTGTGAAAAAGTAAAAGTGAAAATATTGTAGACACTGTCTTAAGCTCCTAGAGGAAAGGGAGGATATAAATCTAACAAACTACAATAGAGTTTCCTGATCAAGATTTCCAAAGCAAGCACTATTTGGGAATCTCAGTCTTTTAAAACAAGTCCTTCAATTTTATTCTCTGGAAGACTGTGTTTGAAGACTACATATCTTCACAAAGCCATCCTTTCAGAATATGGGATGTCAAGCAATTCTTAATCTCCTAAAGTCAATACAGAAGACTGTGAAATAATACAAATATTTCCTTTTAATGTAACATTTCCTTGTTTTATTAGCCTTATACAAAAAGTAATCCATTATATAAAATTGGTAATTTGTGTATTGCGAACAAGAACACACACCTAACATTTATAATACTAGAGCTTTATATTAGAATGATTATACTGTAACCAATCTTTTTCCTGAGTTAACCACATTATATGTACCTTTCTAATATATTGCTAATAAGGTATTTTACAGTAATAAAATTGTAACTTAAGAGAAGGTATCTGGTGCTTATCCAGTCAAAGTAATCAGTGCAAAGGAATGCTACTAAATCTTACTCAATGGAGGTTGGAGTTCATATCTGCTCAATGCATATAAAATGAGCTAATTTATCTAAAATATTTTAGTCAAGTTTCACATTGTAGCAAAGATAAATATAATTACAAATAAGCAGAATAAAAAATTATTTATTAACCAATAATACAGAATTCAAGTACTTATATTAAAATGAACATATTATTCATGCATAACATTTTCCTGCTGGAATTCAAATGAAAGTAATAAATATGACGGTGAAATGCATGAACAGGAGTTCCAATGTTCTCTTTTTTTATGTGGTAAAACAATGTATTTCATTACCCGAATGTCCAAGAGCTTGCAAAAACCTGAAACAAAATGTAATGAATGGAGAATTAACCCCTAACTAGTCTGTGTAAAAAAATAATAATGTAGGTATCTGTTTTTATTTCCTCACAATCCAACTGTAAAACAGAATAGCTTGTTAAATCTTCTTTTGAGCTAATCCTACTATTTAATATAAATTTAATTCCATACTGAACGATTATTAAAAGTATACTCTGGCAGGCATGTCAATTCTTAAGGTGTGTAATGAAGAACAGAAAATTCATTTGTCACATTTCCTATATTAATTTTGTTTATTTTAAAGTTTTTATTTGACTTTTTCACAATTAAAAACTAAGTCAAAGTTCAATAGGAACTATATAGTACCCTTAAAAACACAGTGTTTGATTAGAACTCTATTCTGATTCATACATTAACTCAGTGGTGCAAGTTACTGAAAATTGCTTCCAAATGGATCCCTTGACTGCTAGCCTTAATTATTGGTTTATTATAATTATTTATAAAAGTAAATATAAATCAGACAGTTTGGCCAGTCAAACTAAGGGCTTTACATGGCAAAAGATGGCTTATGCAATGAGCCGCACCTTAAGTAACGGCAGTAACAAAAATCATATGCTCATGTGTGCTCTGGTATGGAGGCTACATGTTTGCCACAACCTGAGTTAAAGTACCCACAAAATGCTTACAATGATTCAAACAGGAGCTTAAGCAAATTGTGGTATACATTTATCCAAAATGTACATCATGTATTTAATCTATTCTTCCCTACTTATGCTCAAAATGTTTCACATAAAGTGTGGGTGTGAATGTTTCAAGTGTTTAAAATATGCGAAGTACAGAATATGCATATTACCAGTATTTATTTCCTGCTCCCATTTCACTTACTGTATTCCTTGCTCCATAAACGGTAATGGACCACAGATGCATATGAGCATTTTACAATCATGTTTACTTCTTTTCACAAATTCAGAAAGCAGAGAGGAAGAGATTTTTCCTTGTTTGCCTGTCCATTCTTTCTTTGGCTCTGAGAGAACAAACTGAATGTCAAACCTGAGAAACAGTAAAGACACCAATGTTTAAAATGCCCATTTCAAATGCTTAGAAGTCCATATGCATTCCATCATCCTCATGCAAATACCAATTCATGCATAACATACAGGTAGTCCTCATTTAGCAATTGCCTCATTTAATGACTATTTGCAGTTACAACAGTGATGAAAAATAACTTTTTGACCAAGCCTCACATTTATGACCTTTGCAGGTCTGTAAAGCAAAGGAAAAGCTGAAGAAAGATCATAAGCACTTAGCAATTGCTTTGGTTAATGACCATGTTGCTGATTGTGGTTGCTAAACAAGGACTACCTGCATTTCCTGTAAGAAACTGGATCCTGATCCTGGATAGTTCTGCTTTATCATATGCTCCACTACTGACACAATAATGCAACAGACTGGATGCAGTGTTGATCTTCAATCAGCCTAAGAGACTGAGATCCAATAGAGACAACTGCTAGAAGACAAATCTTTTTTTCCCTCACACTGCTATATTGTTCTAGAGAGTCTGTCATCTGAAGTAGATTTTCAGGGACATCAAAAAGACCAATGAAAAGGAGAAAATTACATCCTATTCTCTTCCTTGAGACAATCAGAGTGAATGACTGCTCATGGAAACTCCAAATCCATATTGAAAAGCTGATTTTTAACATAATGTGCTAGGATAGCCAGCCATTTATTTGGACTATTAATAATTTTCAGATATTCTGCTTATCTACTTTTGGAACATGCTACAACAGTAATTAGCTTTGCTCTCAAGTCTTCCTAGCCTTATGTTCCTAAGAACCAAATGCCTGTACAGAACTTAAAAGCAGAACCTCTTCTTTACGTACAGGAGAGGGTATCATCTGCTCTTATCTGCCTTACCTTCACCCAACAGCTGGCAATTCACCTACACAGTATATATAAACAATCCCAGAATGCCATAGCTATCAGCATACATACTGTATTGTATGTATGCTGATATATATGTATATCAGCATACACATATATTGTAGGTTGGAGATTCTCCCCTAATGATTAAATACCATCACCTGGACAATGGAAAACTAATTTATTTGATGAAATACATACTCCCCGAGGATTGTTGCAAAGGCTAAAGGATTCTGAAATTTCCTGTCAAAAATCAGTGAATTTTTTTTTCCCCTATGAACTGCTTTTGCATTTTATAATAAAATTTTGTAGAGAGTCACTTTTCCCACTACGTTTTATAATGCACGTGAAACTATGGAGGTCCCCTCCATAAATAAAACTGTGAATTATTTTGATATCAAGAAAACATAGGATGGTGGTCACAGACTTCAGAAACAGTAAGAAAATATGATGATGATGATATCATCATCTCCATTATTCTAGAGGGCAGGACACGGAATAATGGATTTTGATAGTGGAACCAAATACCAAGAGAGGTCAAGTCCTCCCTTCACTGGCTATGTTCAAGGTGGATGGCCATTTATCATGGATGCTTTAATTTGGATTCCTGAACGCAACAGGAGCCTGGACCCAGCAACCTAAATGAACTCTTTCCAACTCCACTGATTCTTCCCCCAAAGAAATCACTGCTGAAATTCTGGAACCTTGTATCACATCCTTATATCGTAAAGAGCAGACAGGATAAAAGAAATACAAATTCATTGTATACATGACTTTCTGGAAACTAGTACCTTGTGTCATTAAGAGCTAACTGCTCCAGCTGACTTTTCCAAAGTATATCATCTTCCGTTTTGTTGAAGAACATCATTTTTACTGCCCTTAAAAGGATATTTCAATATTTAATTTTCAGCTTTTAAAAATACCGTGAACAAACAGTATTCTTTGAAAAACATAACATTCAACACCTCAGTAAGAATCCCCAGACTGCTTTTAGCTATTCCACAGTTGTTCAACCCTAGTGACAGATTTAAAAAATCACTGAAACACAAAAGAAAATAGCAAGATGTGGTGTTTCCAGCTTCCCATTTGCCCCTTCTCTTTGCCCAGATCCCTTCTGTGTATTTGAACAATACAGCACCCTATCTATATGGTAGTTTGGGGAAACAACTGTGTACCTTATAAGCTTATTGAGAAACAGGGTGCCCCCACCTGTCCACGTTGCGTGGGACAACCCTTCCCATCCCACTTAGTTAAAATTAATCCTTCTCAACTGCTTGCTCATTTCATAGGGTCAGTGCCTACATACAGTAGCCTTTTAAAAACAGAAATAGACTACCATTTTCCAGTATACCTCCAGTATTCCCGTATATGGAAAAAGCCCATATTTAAGGGAATGGGGGGCAAGGTTAGTCCAAAGAGTTACAAAGAATCAGCAAAGGCAATGCAATTAATTAGACTTAAGTCATTCCATGTTTTTAGTTCAGCAACCTGATTGCCATAAAGAACATGAATCTCACTGCATCTGAGTCAAAGAGTAACATGCTTGTATGAAGTTTATGATGTGATTTTCAGCTATGCCAGGGAAGCTACTATTCTAGCTGGTTTAGATACAAGAATAATCTCTCTAAACTATAATCACTGTATCACTAAGAGTTCCTCAAAGAGGGAGAGGGGGAGGGAGGGAGGGAGGGAGGAAGGAAGGTAGGTTGGTATTCCCCACAAGCCCTCAAGAGGGCACTGTTGGATAAAGCAAAATTGCTATATCCACTAGTGATTCCCAAGAAAGAGGGAGTGAAAGCCAGTGTGATCAGTACAAGCTTTATTAAACAGAAATACTTACAGGAGTAAACATGCAATGCTCCTTGTGATGGACAACAGGTACGATTTGTAAAGTTTTATAACCGTAAAACAAGTTGTGTGAGAAGCTACCTTATCAATGAAATGCCTTTCCTGTGAACTCCTCAGTATCTCTGCACCTGGCATTACCTCCATGTGCATTCCCAGATACAGTCTGTGCTATGCTGAACCATCTTATTAGTGGTTCATGCAGTGGTTAAACATGGTGTTAGCTTGGTTCAGGTATACAAACAGTAAAATAAAAACAGAATAGGATGTAATAGGGTGAAGTTAGACTTTGCTTTCTGTGTAAAGAGTGCCTCTTTTTTCTTTACAAGGATTTTAAAGGATCTTGTTGATGGAATGGGGGAGGCAGCTCACTGCTGGTTTCTCCCCTCTGTTGTTGTAATGGTATGTGGGAATGACCTCGGGAGACAGGAGGAAGAGCCACAGACTGGACAACTGGCAGGTAAAAGATGCCTCAGCCCACAGAAGAAGGGGAAGGGTGTGGGAAGCATTTCAGAAGGGACCCTCCATAGTTTTCTGGAGAGTAAAAGGAAAGGAGGGGAGAAATAATTTCAGTCCTGCAAGATTCTGTTAATGTAACCTTACAATAAAGATAGAGTTAATTTTCATTGTTGTACTTCTTGTCTGGACTACCTTGAAGGGCTAACATCAATGTTCAATCACTTCTGATAGGGACAGAAGTTAGATTTCCCAAACTGCTTTTTATTCATCAGTGAAAATGATTATATTACCGCATGAGTGAGCATCCTTTGCTTGCTTCCCCCTTTCAAGAGCCATCTTGGTGTACTGGTTAAGGCCTCAGGCTAGAAACTGGGAGACCATGCGTTCTAGCCCGGCCTTAGGCACAAAGCCAGCTGAGTGACCTTGGGCCAGTCACACTCTCTCAGCCCTAGGAAGAAGGCAGTGGTGAGCCACTCCCAAAATCTTGCCAAGAAAAGTGCAGCGACTGGTCCAGGCAGTCACCAAGAATCAACAATGACTCAAAGGGACACGCCCCCCCCCAAAAAAGGTGATTTTCTGTCAGCTCAAAGGTTGCACCAACCATTGTATGATATATTCAGACATGCATATATACACACACAATGTGGAGGAATAGAAAACTGGAGGGATTTTTTGCCTCTTATCTTATGATATATATACATCACAGAAAGATAGAATAGCTTCTATGTATCTCATTAGCAGAACATTGCTCCCAAAGTGCTATTGGAAAAGGCTTACAAGCATATAACATGGCAAACCATCAGGACATTTTAGCTCACTGTTTTACAGCTTTAATTTTGATCAATACATACCAAAAAGCTTTATCTTCGTGCAATCTAATCACTTGGGAGAAAAGCAGTGGCCACATTTCACAGAAGTATCATTTAACAATAGGAAACAGGGAGGAAAATCACCCCTTTATATTGTTTCAGCTTGTGCATTATTATACCTAACTTTAGTTGGATTTCTAAACAAATACACTTCCGTTGTCCAAATTCTTACATTATGGCTTTAACATGACACAAACTAACCTAATCAAACCTCTGATTCCTACACTAAGAATTTCAGAGCTATTTGGAATCAGACCACCTAACCCTGCATTCTGCTCCCACAGCAGCCAATCAGATGCCCAAGAGACAACCATCAGTGATACTGAGTGCAAAAGCACCATCTAATACGTGTCATTACTGTTACCAAGGCATATATATAGCGCTTTTGACCTTTTATCTACCTATCTAATAGCCACTAACAGCTATACAGTAGCTGTCCTCTATAAATTTATCTAATTTACTTTATATATATTCAAACAGGCAATTATTATTATAAAGAAGCTGGTTACTCATCAGTTAGCTGAATGGTTTGAACTAACAAAGTATAGTTTATTTCAAGCAATACAAAGAAAAGACACTGAATGTACCAAATGAACAGGAAACTTCTAGGCATAAGAGCAGAAAGATACCTGAGAGTAGCACTATGAGTCAAAGCATAGCTGAGCAGTTTAACCATTGGTGTGAATCCGGTGCCTCCTGCCAATAAAAACAAATCTTCTACATCTTCAATTTGTGATTTTCTAAAATTACCTTCAGGATTACTCAAAGAAATATAGTCTCCTGTTAAAAAAACAAAATAGTACAAAAATAGTACAATAAATGTTAAAAGATCAGAAATCATGATAAATCTATTCCCCATGATAGATACAATCTATCTCATAAAACTGTAAGTATTCTACAGGAAATAACGGAACAAATGAAATTATGAGCAATTTGCAGTCGACACGATACTAATTTGAAAAAAAATGCGTAATATATTTTGAAAATATTTTAAAAACTCAAAAGAGAAAGTATACATTTTAAGATGCTTTGAGAGAGGGAGAAAAGTGTCCTTCTTACCTATTTGTAAAGTGTCAAGCACTGGTGTAAAAAGTCCTCCAGGATAAATTTTAATCATAAAAAATATGTGTGCCTTGTCGTTGGAGATGGGGATTTTGAGTGGTGAGACCAAGCAAGGTGTTACTGGTGTGTAAGGCTTGACTATCTCTGTACCTAAAGAAAGAAAGTGCAAGAAAACCTAATAATAAGCATTAAATACTAGAAATGGCTTTAGTGCAAAGAGATATATTAAGAATAAAAACATTAATGTCTGGGTGAATAATGAAAAACTTGTACTATGTATGGCACTCATGAGCATATTATTCCTATATAAGCCAAAGATCTCAATGTTATTGAGATATGTCATATTAAACAGGAACTAGCTTTTAAATATTATTTTGTTAAATATTTGGGGGATTTGAACATATTTTAAAATATTTCATTTAATTAGAATATTTCATCTATCACATTTAATGTACAACCTGTCTTTTATATATTCTCTTTCACTTTTCAAGACTGGAGAACTATCGGCCCAAGTTTCTCCACTATCCTTCAAGAACAGTTAATGGATTTAAATAATCACAAATGATAATTTAGAAATTAAGGGAAATCAGAAAATGCCATTTGACCCATGTAACTGTCTTATTTATAGTGTTATAAATGGTAAACAATTCATAGAAAGAGTTCCGATTGACTGCCTTAACTAAACCTAATAAAAACATAGATCTTATGGACACATAGGAACCAACAGCATTAATTAACCAAGATTTTTACAAGCATATTAGCAAACAGGATAGCTAATTTTCTTCCCAAATATGTTCATGGAGGCCAAACAGGATTTATTAATGTGTGACAGAGCCTATTTCCTGGCTATGTCGAGGGCTTTTTTATGATTCTCCAGCTGCTATGTGTTTTATTTCTTGTTCATTTTATATTTGTACATATTTTTATTTCTTTTAATGTTGTGAGCCCCCAAGAGTCATGTATTGAGATGGGCAGCTATATAAATAGATTAAACAAACAACAAATAAATAAAGGAGGCCTTGGAATTCCAAATATTAAATCTTGTTATAATGCTAACCATATCAATCCCATTTTCAGCTTGATAAAGTCAAAAGAATAAATATACCATGTGCTTCCAATGAGCTGTCCTGAACAAAGGGAATAATGGCAACAGCCGTGGAAGATTCCAAGGGGTACGGGTGAGCTTTATATAATAAAAGAACACTTAAATCACCCAAGCATTGTCTGCTCAATTTGCACAGGATATGTCTTTTTTTTTTAAATTGCCAGTACAAGCTTTTCTCCCCCATTTTATTATATTTTATAACAAGGTTATAACAAATAAACAAAAATACTAAAGGTAAACAAACAATGAAACACTAAAGACAATTAATGAATTAAAAAACTAAACAGAACAAGGAATAGGGAAAAAACAAAACAAAATGAAAGTAACCAAAAAAAGTAAAGATCAACACCAAGCATCTAAACTATATATATATATATATATTAAATGTGTAGAAATCACCAGTCTACAGAAATAATACTATATTATCATCAAATAGACAAACAAAAACATAACTGTTATAGGATATAATGTATAGCATATAATGTGCTTTTCCCTCAGTAAAAGAATCAACTACTTCGTGCATTCCTTGAAAATCAGAATTGGAACCAACAAATTCTAGAAGCAAGGTAAGATTTTCACCACGTTACCTGTAATCGTTTGTCTGAGGTAAAGATGGTGTCCCACCGGTACCTGGAGATGTGTTCCTGGTGGTAACCCTACACAGAACAGTCTAGTATCATGACTGACATTTGTCTTTGACAGCAGCTTGCATTTCCTGTAATACAAACCTTAGAAATACAGAAACTGAGGAATTAATTGAATTCACATTGCTCAAATATTAAAGTTGTTATACATTTATATTTGAATTAGATTCAAAATCTTCAGTCTGCTCATGGAAGAAATTTTTCAGTGACCTGAACCCGTTACAGAAACAGAACGAAAATTCTGAATCCAAACCACTGAAACTCTGTGCCTCTTACAAAGTATGTAAGACGACTGTCTTATTCTCCTGCATCAGTTTTTAAAATATTAATATAATATATTAATATTAAAATATTAACATTTATACTTACTGGTGTATTAATAATATTAATATATTTAATTCCTGAGATAATACAGATTCAGAGAAGAACATGTCTAGCCAAAAGTCTGGTCCACATATTCAAGCACTACAGTATGAAACAAATCAGTTACAGACACAATAATGCAAAAGTACATCATTACAACCTGCTGCTATGCCCGTATAGCCGATGAGAGCCACCTTTTCTCACAGCGTGGCAAACAAAACTGTCAGTGAGCCACACAATCTTCTAGTCATCATTTACGCTGCTTTTTCATCCAGACTCTCCAGAAAACTTATTTGGAAATAAGTGTGGCAAGCCCCGATGATCAACCAACGCGTCAGGAGAAGCAAAGGTAGCCAGAAACACAAGGGCAATCAGGAGACCATTCCTATCCATCTTGTTTTGGAGGCAGTTCCTTACTTCCTCAGAGGTTAGGAGCTATCATAAGCCTAAACCTCATCAATATAAAAGACACTCTCTCCTCCATAACTCTATCACTCTGCTTCTGATCAAAGCAAAATCCCAAGTTTGAAGGACATCCTGCTTTATTAATGGGGCCTGTTATCATCTGAAGCAATCCACAGCTGCTTGGAGGCAGTGAAGTTCTGAGCTACAAAACCAACACATTTATGCATAATTCCATAGAAGAGCTTCTCCTAACACTGGTATATCCTTGTATGTTACTCACTCAGGTGCTATCAGCCTGTCGAGATAGGCTAGGTCAAAAACCAAGCATGGCAGGAGTTCAAGGTATGCTGTTTACTGTAGTAAGGTAGAATAATAGAACCTCAAAAGCCTGTCCAAGTTTCTTTCTGCCCCCTCTTATACTAAACACAACTAAGGTGAGGTTACTTTGAGTTTCATTCTCACGTTTTTCTCTTTCTCAGGACTGTGTACTCTTCTGCAAGCCCCCTCCCCCCTTTATGGCTTGCTCCTGCCTTCCTCAGGGTTAGCTCTATATTCCTTTACAGATGCATAAAATGGGGACAGGAATTTCATGTTACCCCCTAAAATTGGGAGGAGGTGTGCAGACATCAACTTTGAGTAGAACAATAAAATGTATTACCTCTATCTGTACATTTGACAAAAGAATTATGACTCTCTAGAGGCTGCCCAAGTTTTTTCCAGGACAAATTTTCTTTCTTCTTCAAGACAAATTCCACCTTTCCCACTTTTTCAGATACCTGTACTAAAAATATACATAGTATTGTTCTATAGCAATACATGCATAGCATTTTGCATAAGTGATGTAATTGTAGAAATCACAATCCATAAGTGCTGCTGGAGGGCAATGTCATTCAGTTTCTTAAAATGTGACATGTAGTATTACTGAATGAAACTTTTTTTATACATACGCAAACTTCCAAAATATATGTATGCCATAGTCTGAAAGCACATTTTTAAGCAGGGTTTAGATCTGATCCCCTTGCATGGGTAACAGAATACAAATGTATACAATAAAAAAAATTAAAATATAAGGCAAAAATCTGATCTTGTATGTGTGTGCACGCCTCCGAGTTGACTTCTGGCAACTGCCTAGACTAGTCCCTGCAGTTTTCTTGGCAAGATTTTTTGGAAGTTCACCATTGTCTCCTTCCTAGGGCTGAGAGAGTGACTGGCCCAAGGTCACCCAGTTGGCTTTGTGTCTAAGGCAAGAGTAGAACCCGTGGTTTCCGAGTTTCTAGCCTGGTGCCTTAACTACTACATCAAACTGGCTCATCTGATTAATACTATGCTTAAATTTTTCCACTTTTATTTTTAAAAAGAATAGATGGGTTTGCATGGCAAACAACAAATCTGTGACTTTAGATCTGTTTTTCCTGAACAGCAGCTCTTATGTAGCATGCCAAAAAATCTTCTTAAAAGACATGAAAATCTATAGTTTAAATTGTTATTCAATTAATTGTTTCCTGGTATTGAAGCAAGTCTTTGAAACTATAAATGGTAGCCTGGTTTATCCAATATGCTAAGCCAGAATATAGCCTCTTTAGTTTTGGCTTAGCATGGCTATGAACATAGGCATTATGGTTGTAAACCATAATTTATGGCATAAAATTTACACTGTTTGAAGCTAATAGATTATAATCCGATCTCCAAACCTGCATCTGTGAATGACTTGCTTGACATCTATAAGATCCCCTTCTTACTATTCAGAGGTTTTTTGTGTCTATTTTAACTGGAAATGGCTGGGCACATTGCAAAATAACATACAAGCTGCCTGCTATTTTATTTCAGCAGGCTCTAGAAATCCTTTAAAGTGTCTGAAGACTGTCTTAACTACAACAGGTTAACATGAAAAGCCCTCTGGATATGTTCAATTTATTATCAAAAGAACTCAAAAAAATCATGACATAATGCACTCATTCCAGAATTTCAGCAGATACAAATGCATTACAAGGAAGCAAATATTATGGAATAAAAGTTTAATTTGGAAATGAAAAACTGACCCAAATAAATGCTTAGGTTTGGACATAGCAGTTACTTGATCAGCACAACAAAGCAAATGATTTTATCTCAATAGATATTGCAGAAAAAACATTTAATATTTCAGACAATCCACTGTAAAAAATCTGGTAACTCACAATCTGAATATCTAGCAGGTCAACATAAAAAATACCAGGTTTCTTTCAACACAGAGTTTTAAAACACTAGATTTTATCTGCCTGAAATTCTTGTTAATTTATCTGATAAAAATTCTTGTTACTTTTTGTTATTTTGGCTGTTTTTGTCAAAATGATCTGATTCTAAAGTCACTTTAGAATTGTAAATCAATTATGATGTCATGATAATTTTAAGGATTTTTCCTGACTTCAAACCAAATTTGCTTTTCCTAGTTTAGAACAGCAGCAGTATCTTCAACTTAAACATGTTTTAATGGCTCAATATGGGCAAGATGCTTTGGCTATTTCAAAGGTACCTGAAATGTTTTCTTATTTGATGGAATCCATGACAGAAGTTAAATCCACAACATATCTTAACAAAAGTTCAAGAACATTCTTAAAATGAATATTACTGGGATGTATCAAACATGGACTAAGGAGCTAGAATTTCTGATAATGCTACATTAATGGCTGCAAGTCCTTAAAAATGTTTAAATGGCATTGATGGACCTGAAATTAAAATTCACTTGTCAAAAAATGTACAGGTAGTCCTCACTTAGCAACCACTCATTCAGCAACCGTTCAAAGTGATGACAATGCTGAATGAGATTTACAACTGGTCCTTGAAGTTGCGGCCGTTGCAGCATCCCCATGGTCTCATGATCCTGATTCGGGCACTTGGGAACCAGTGTGCAAGTATGATGCTCGCAGCACCCCGCGGTCACACGATCACCATTTGCGACCTACACTGCCAGCTTCTGACAAGCAAAATCAATGGGGAAGCTGGCAGGAAGTTGCACGTTGTGGTCATGTGACTTGTGCTTAATAATCATGCGCAATTCACTTAACAACCACAACTGGAACTGCCATTGTAGGTGAGTGAGGTGACATGACCGTGTCGCTTAGCGATGGAGTTGCCAGTTCCAATTACGGTCATTAACTGAGGACTCCCTGTATTTAGAATGTACATCAGATTTTCTTTGTTGGAAATGCAAACAAACTGAGGGTTTATTGTGATGGAATGGAATTATGAAGACCAAACTCAGGGAGGGAAACATGCTCTTTCGTCTCCTGAGGGGCGAGGAAGAGATAAGAGGATGAGGCTGGCACCTCCCTGAGGAATTCACTCTGTTTTAACTGGCTGACTTTGGGAACTGAGGTTTTAGTCTGGGAAGATTGATGTCAGGCCTAGCCCAAGGAACTCCAGGAAACCATGCAGATTCAGTTCAGCAATGTTTATTAGCTACGACCTCTAGCAAGAAACTTCCCAGGCTGAAACTTAGTTCCCACAGTCAGTCAGTGAAAACAGAGTGAATTCCTCAGGGAGGTGCCAGCCTCATCCTCTTATCTCTTCCCCGCCCCTCAGGAGACGAAAGAGCATGTTTCCCTCCCTGAGTTTGGCCTTCATAATTCCATTCCATCACATTTATTGACTTACATGATATGTCTTGTGACCTTTTGGTATTCTTCAGAATAGTATTTCAATGTACATAAGCAATTTCATGGGGAAATCTCTAAATGGAGATTTTAATGTGATGTTGAATTATATACCAAAATTCTGGAATCTGACTGTTTATGAGGAATTATGGTTGTACTGGGCATGGGAGGGATGGGTAGCAAAAAGAATTATATTAAGAAATTGAAAAAGAGATATTATTCCAGACATTAAGGACTGGCTTTTTGGAAAGGTGTAATTCATCCACTCTGGAAAAGGCAATATTTTCAACAATTCAAAGAATGAAGCAGTATGTTCTCTTTTGGCAAAGATTTCAGGATATTTTACATAAAACAACAGTATAATTAGGTGTTTCATTTTGTATTTGATTATAATACAGTATTATCAAGTATTTTTTTGTAAACCAGTGACTATCTGTAAACAATCATTATTATGATCATTAGTACTGTAACTTGTTAAATTCTGTTAGGATTGTTAAGGGGTTTGGGGGATGGGTCTTTTTTCTCGGTCTAGCTTCGTTTTGTTATTCTTTTGTATTCTGGTACTGTTTATGTTTCTGAGCTTTTAAAATAAAGAAGAAAGATTGAAAAAATCCCTCTGATCTGATTCTAATATTATATCTGCTCCAATCTAATATAACTTGCAAGAATAATAGTGATGTTTCTTTTTTCTTTAATATTTTGTAAATTCCTTATGTAGTGCTATATTTTGAAAACTTTCAATGTATTCTCTTTGTTCCTGCTTTCCTTCTATAATTTTTCTCTTGCCGCTTTCTAAGTATCTTAAAATACTTTTTAAAAATACCAGAAAAAAAAATTGAAACAGAATATTCACATTACATCAGCTCTTGAGTACGTTAATAAGATGAAGCAAAAAAAAAAAAAAAGTTTAAACCACAAAACAGTATACTTACTTACCTATCATATCTTCATAAACCGCATAACTCAGTTCTAAAACAGAGGCATGTAATTTGGTAAATAACGTCTTTAATTTACATAAGATTATCAGCAATAAAGTATGTTAAGCACTAAAGCAAGACGAAAACGCGAAACTGTTTAAGCATGGATCATGGTGTAATTCAGTTTATGAAAGTCTGTACAATGAAACTTACACAATGAGCTATTTGGCACAATTCCATTACTACATGAATGAGCCTTAGATTTGTGGACTTTTCCTCTCTTCCCATGGTATGTAATAGTTCCAAAACTGTTTTTGCATGTAAAACAGGCTTGCACTAACCTGGAAGAAACAAATTTGGAGCAACCACTCATGTGTAATAAAGAGCTTTGATAAAATATATGCAAACCCAAGGTTTTCATGTAGCAGCAAATCACTGAACCTGAGCAAGATGTGAGCATACTTGGAACTCTAATTTCACTGGGGAAAAGAGTGGGTAACCCAGTAGTAGATCACATACACTGTATCCCTAGTTAAATCCATGGCATCTTGAGGTTGAACTTGGAAACGCCCCAACATAAAACTTTGAAGAATTGCTACTTCTTGTAGAAGACAATTCTGACCAACTCCAAACAATACGACTTAGTATGTAGATGCTTCCTATATTTCTACACATTATATGTGCCTAATACGAAAAACACAGACATGCATTTTCCATTTCTTCCCAGTTACTGAAATTCAATATTGAAGAATCTGAAACTTTGTAACAGTAGCTGAAATCTCACACTTTTCACTTGGTTTAGCTGCTTTTCAAACATCTTGCTCAAGAACAGGAACAAGTGCGAAGAAAAAAAAAAGCTCCAAGAATAAACACTTTTTCTTCTACCACACACAGCATACCACATTTTACATCTTTGGATTCTAGCCTCGTGATATAAATGCAGTCTTCGCAATATACAAAAGCTGACAAATGCAAATTATATTGGCATCAGCTGAACTTGTGTGATGTTTATGCAGTTATAATCCATTTATTTATTTATTTTAAAATATGAACTAAATTAATATGCCAGTAAAGAGCTTACCAACATGTATGAGGTACGAGTAGTCTTTCACAATTATTTCTCCTCTTAGTTTACATTCTTGAACATCTGCTATCACCAATTCAGAATTCATATCCTTTCGGAGGGAAGGAAAATAAGGATGGGGGATACAGACAGCTGTTACAACTGATCATTCTATATTATTATTACCAGTGCAATCAATGCAGATGGCATCTTACAAAGTAACAAGAAGCAATAAGAAGAAAGTGAAGATGAGGGAAATAGATGAAGAACGTGGATCTGGTTCAACTGCAACCATCTAGGTTTAGTTTCAGTAGGAGATCTAAAAATCAAGGCAGTATAAAGGCTTCATAGCAGAGGTGAATTTTAGTGAGAGAAGCATCATGCTAGTATTCTAGAAGTAAACTTTAGACATGTGGGTCAGCAAAAAAATGCATTCTCAAGAAAGGAAGACAGACAATTTTAAACATTTGATAATAATGGAGCTGGAAAAGAAACAAAAGCAAAGACTGTACTGAAAAAAGACAAAAGTATAATATTGCAAATCTTTACTAGCAAATGAAGTTATTTACCTTTTGTTTAGTGTATATTACCACAGTGACTGAATCTGGTGTCTGGAACCAGTCATAACTGAAATAAATTGAGAAAAGTATAAATTTTAGTTTTAAAAATACATGCCTCCACAGGGATCTTTCTTCATGTATAATTTATTAAATCTTATTTAATTGTGAAACTGTGAGAACATTCTCATGGGAGAATATCATAGGAATAATCTTAGGTTTCCTTAAACTGAAGGAAATCATCACAAGAATTTTGATAAACAAATGGGATATTGTGACTGCTATTACATCTTACTATCCATTTAGGGGATTTAACATACAATCCTATCCATTTAGGGAACTAAACTTAAATAAATTGATATTAAAAATTACTTAAACTTAAAGCTTCCAGTTTCATACTCTATTTTGAATTGTACTAGATAATACATTGTAACATTAGTCATCACACATGAATTGTTTATGGAAATTTTCCAAATGAGCTATTTAAGTACTGCCAACTGTTACTGAAGTTGTGAAAACAAAGAATTCTGTTTGATTTTTTGGCAGGAGATCTAGGATAAACCAAAGGTAGATCAAAATCAGCTGAAAAATGTGTTAGCTGATTTGCTGAAATAACTTATTTTAAAAGAACAAGGGGAAAAAGTGCTATTTTATTCCTTTGTTTCACTGTTCCTCAGTTGTAAAACAGGAGTACTAACTGGTTTGTTTTAGTAAGTTCTTGCTTTGCTGGCCAGTCTGAGGTGTTATGCTAGAATCTCCAATTACTGATATTCTCAGGTTACATGCACGTAGATGTGTAAAACACATGATTTGCATGCTGAACTTTCCAAGTTCAATCCCTGGTATCTCCAAATACAACTCCAGTAAGGTTGAAACAATGGAGAGCTTTGTAAAGTGTTGACAATACTAACAGTGTACTAATCATCTGAGGTTACATACCAAGTTCAGCCATATTGCATTTATTTTTTACCTTAACAATAAACCAGCTTGATACTTAGGCAATTATGGCTTATCAATCCACTATTTATATAAACAATGCTTAATTCGAGGTATGATCCCTGATCATATAAAATAGCTTCCTAGGTTCCTGTATCCCACTATGTTCTATGGGTACAGTGGATGTTAATTCTGCCACAAATCAATGTTATGTGACTTGTTCTGATTGGTAGACCTGTCTTGATGACTCTGAAAAGTCCTCAGACAGCAAGCCAGTAGTACTCCCTTTGTATTAGTGAACCAAACTCAAGAATGTCACCTGCATCAGAGCCAGTCTCCCAATCTGAGATCCTCAACCCCAGGTGTGGACAATGGCTTGAAACCATCCATATAAAGTTCATTGTCTGAAAACAGCTAAGTGCTGGAAGCAGTATCTGTAGTCACTAAGGGTGTATGACCAGCAAACCTTGAACATGCACCTATATCATAATTTTTCTGCAGCACCTGAAACAATGGGCTACCATTGCTCATCTTTCATCCTCAGATTCTTTGCTGATTAATTTTTTGTGTGACACGTTGGCTGTGACCAAAACTCTAGTTTAAAAACCCTGGACAGAAGAACCAAGTATTTATCTGTTCATTTTTCTGAGGCCTACCCACAGACAGGAGAACACTTCTGTGTTCTAGCAAAGAATAACAGATTTTTGCCATCCTGAGCTACCTACTCCTACATGAGAGTCCACAAATCAATTTTTAAAAAATTAATGATTCTTCAAGTTGAAGTCAACTCCTAGAGACTTCATGGAGATATTGATGTAGCTTTCTTGACAAGTGGTTTGCTGTTGCCTTGTTTTCTCCTGACCTCCCAATCTATTCTATAGACCTGGACCTCCCATCCAAGCACTAGCAGGCCAGACCCAACTCAGCTTCTGAGCCAAAGTTGGCCACCTGCTGAGAACAAAGCCATGTTAAAATGGGGAAAACAATCTCTACAATATTAGCTGATTTGTTCCAATCAGCAAATAAACCATGTAACATACTACTAATACATTTTCATTCAGTCCTTCCTTAAATAAATAGAATCCCACTTGATGCTGAAATATGACAGTACCTGGGAACTATTTCTCTGGAACATTCATCCAAAACTTTATTTTTTGGAACTATACCTACAAAAAATAAGAAGTAACATACAATGGTTAACGTTATTCTAGCATTAAGGATTTATCAGCTTAATCTACTTCTCAGGACAGCTGAAAAGATAATGGGGAGAATATGTACCTGATTTTCACGGACAAAGGGTTAGATGAAAAATACTATTAATTTTGTTATTTATTATTTTGTTGAAATAATCATAGCAGCTGATGGAGACACAGATGCTTGTTAGAAATAATTCAGAACTTCCAGTTTAGAATTTGTCTTAAGAAAAATGTTTGTTTACACAATCCTAGCGTAAGAAGTAGGGGAGACATCACAAAACACCTTATACTAAACTTTTATTAATATTTAAATTTATTATGACCGCCCACTCCAAAAGACTCTGGGCTGCTTTTTCAGGCACAGAAATATCCAGATCAAAGGAAATGAGGAAAATGTTGGCTTGCATGTCATTTTCTTTTAAAAGTAGCATGTAATGGAAAGGCCTTGTCATGTAATTTTTTTTATTTCAGATCATGACTGTATCATCAGTATTTGTATATCAATTATGTTGTATGCTATCATTTTAATTTGTAAATACAATCTTCAATATGTACAGCAAATGCATATTCAGAAACATCAGAAGAAATCACTTACAAGGTTGCCAAGGAGTTCTTATGGAAGACCTCAAAACAGAACCTACACATCCCTGAAAAGCAACCTTGACTATATTAATGTTGCACAACAGCATTTATTTGTGTTTGCGTGAACTGTTCTGGGCGAAGGGGTAAAGAGGGCAACTGCACTAGCTCCAACACATGGAAGGGGACACAAAGTACAAATTTCAATACTTGTACAAGTATTGATTCTATGATAATCAGCTAAATATAACTTCAAAAATGATTTCAATATATTGGCTTTCCTCACACAATCCTATTTAGCTGGGCTTGACTTCAACAGAGAAAAAAGGGGAAAAACTACACTGTCATGATGTATTGGAGGTGGGGGTGTCAAATAAAGATTCAATCCTAGGCTTCTCCAAGTCTTAAAAATTATGTTTGCATATTTTACTTTAGTAAGGCTATCAGATCTAGGTTACAAAAATCCAAACAACCACATGTTGGCAGCAAAGAGAGAATGATCAAACTCTGATAAACACAAATGTATCGTGGCACAGTGGATTGAAAACTGCTGGTCTAATGGACAACCTTGGATAAGAAATAGCGAAGCCAAATAATACTTCAAAAAATAAAAAATGATTTTTATAAACAGGGGATTATAAGGAATGAAAGATAATGAAGGTAACTCCTTACCTTGTTTTTGGCACATTATTAATATTAATATTTTCAAAGAAATAGGTTACACATGTATCCAAGAATTGTACATCAGAAAATGGAACACATTCCATTAATAACTTCTTTATAATAGAACCACGGAATACTTATCAAGACACAACATACATGATACTGACACAAGCCATTTCTCCACTAGTGATTTACACTGTCTTTACAGCATCAAACAGCCGTTGTTAGTGATATAAAACCTTGTCCTTATTACTGTTATTTTGGCATAATGAGGTCTAAATGGCTCTGGAAGATGCTGTCAATTGCTAGTAGGAAAATAAACATAGAAGAACACATAGTTTCTGATCTTGGTCCCTGCCACCATCCCTTTTTTGTTTAATTGATTCTAGAAGGAAGCTGAAACTTCTTAGATGCTGGACTGCATATTTTCTGGAGAGGAAGAAGGAAATATGCAATCCAGCATTTAAGTCTGTGACTTAGCCAGGGAATAAATCCTTAGATGAACGTAAGTACAAATCCAAAAGTTCCTAGATCAGGTGTGTGTGTGTGGACTCTGTTCACAGTCACTCATGCCCAAATCACCTCCAGATTGGACTATTGTAATGCACTCTACATGTGGCTGCCCTTGAAGCATATCTGGAAGCTTTAACTGGTGCAGAACGCAGCAGTGTGGGAAATTATGTGTGCTCCCAGAACAGCATGTCACACCTCTGCTCCATGAGCTGCACTGACTGCCAGTTTGCTTCTGGGTCCAATTCAAGGTGCTGGTACGAATGAAAGCAAATATGTGTAGCTCACGGTTGAACTGTGGAGTCCTTGGGGTTCTCTGAGCTTGGTTGTTTTCTTGCAAATATTTCATTACCTAGTACTGAAGATGTTACCTAGCTGGGTAACGAAATGTTTGCAAGAAAGCAACCAAGCTCAGAGAACCCCAAGGACTCAAGATGCTGGTTTTAACTTTTAAAGCCCTTCATAGCATGGGACCGGGTTACCTCAGGGACTGCTTCTCCCCGATTATATCTGCCCAACCCATTAGAACTGGCAGAGAAGGCATGTTGTGAGTACCATCTGCTAGGGACTTACACTTGACGGGTCCCAGGAGGTGGGCCTTCTCTGCCATGGCACCTGCCTTATGGAACATTCTCCCCCCTCCCAAAGTCAGGTTAGCTCCATCCCTGTTAATGTTCTGGAAGCTCCTAAAGAGCTGGCTATGTCATCAGGCCTGGGGATCCCAGGGAACCAGTGACATTCTAAGATGGCTCCCCTATTGTAGTTAATATTCACTCTTGTGGTTTGTATATTTTTATTTTTAATAATGATTGTTTTATATTTACGATTGTTTTTAGATATTTATTGTTTTACCTGATTGTTGTACACTGCCCAGAGTCCTTGTGAGATGGGTGGCTATATAAATTTGATAAATAAAATTTAATAAATAAATAAAATAAACACATTTAGAAAAACAGACACGCACACCACAGAAGGGAATACAGTTGCCATGCTGGTTGAGGAAGAAAGTACCAGCAGCAGAAAAATGATTGTTCATTCTTACTGAAGGAAAGAAAACAAAGTCTCCACCATATTAAAATAACAAAATATACCACAATACAACCACATTCACAATAAAAGATGCTCCTATTTATTGACTACCGTAGATTTTTTTTTTTTCCAGCATAGCATGACCTGCTTTATTCTTCATGGAAACTGAGGAATTCAGTGTTCTTTTATTTCTGAAAGACCCCTTTTCCCTGCTGCCATTGGTGGAACTCTACCATAGCAGTATCTTGTCAGACCACGCCCCTTCCCCAGCAGATGTCCACACAGGTGAAGGCAATTACACTTCACCACAACACACAAGAAGACTCAATAAGCATTGTATTCTTGCCATATTCTTTACTATAGCCTCTTTCTAAGTTACATGCAAAAGACAAAACAGCTTCTTAGGAAAAGGAAAGCCTTACTTCAAGGAGACATCAAGAAGAATAGGAGTCAAGCTAGGCAGCAGAATCACAGAAAGTAGATGACTCCACTTTATTATACAGATCTCATACTACACGCACATCAGCTCACAGGTACATGCAATTAATTATTCCGTCCAAGTTGCTGACTTATCCTTGATTGTAAGAATGATATTACTTATTCTCAATCAAGATGTCGATAATTTACCAGGTCTTTCTCCTTGCTCCAATACCTTTGGGACTTATTTGGGATCACTTATTTCTTGTTCCACTGCAAATGTCGATGCCTTACCAATCAAATTTTGAATTTCTACTGATATGAATATATATTCTAGATAAAAGATCTTTCTCTCAGGAAAGAATGAGTTTCTTGTAAAAAAAACTGTTAGGTTTTAAATTGCCTAATTTAGAGAACATCTGTTTCCTCTTAGAATGACATCTAAGACCTTTTACATTCCAGAAAATGATTAAGATATGTCAAAAAATGCACATTAAATAGCTATTATAATCATACATCAAGGGGAAAAATAATTCACTTAACTGAGATAAACTTTTAAAATAATTCAAAAAGAAGTATAAACAATCACAAAGGAAAAAAGAGAAAAACCCTAACCCTGTACTGCAGGGATTTACTCCTCACCTACCCCAAGCCAAGGTGGGCCATCTCCCTCTAGAAAAATGTAAACAGAAAAATACTAAAAATTGCAACACTACCACTTCTTTTCTTCAGATGATTCTATAACAATAAACTTCTGTCCAACCATTGGATCAAAAAACTTCACACAGGAATCCAGGGATAATTAAAAAAAAATTATTGGAAAAAGAAAATAAATGAATCCATTTTTGTTTTGTCGCTAAATTAACTTTACTGAATAACTTCTGCTTCTAAACCATCTGTGTAGGCAGATATGAGAAAAATCATCTTCTTTCTAATATTTCATTCCAAAGATCCCACTTACCAAGATAAATGCAGGATATGAATCTGCACTATAGATCTCAAGAATCTCACAAAACAGGATTGGGGGTTTATACTGAATAGAAGCAGATGTCTGTACAATAAGCAGTTTCAATTTCTGGCTTGTATTCCAGCTTCAGTTTTAAAAAAAACCCTGACCTATATTTCTCCATAAGTGCAGTTACAAACTGATTTTGCTCAGCATTATAAGAAATACTTAAAAATCATACATTTCTAAGAACTAGGTCCTTTAACTGTGTAATAGCCTCTTGAATGTCTATATTTTTAAAACTGTTTCTAGTTCCATTATAGAATTCAAGCTGTCATCCTTGTTTTGTGTGAATCAATAATTAAGGTTTTTAATGCCACCATTTTCTGATCTAAGATATCAAATATCTACTTCATCTCTGAAAAGCACTGTTTCACAACATGCACCACAATTTTTATAAGTTCAATTTTTCTAGAAGGCTGTAATTGATGGGAAGGAGCTTCTAAAGACAAGCAATTCCACATAGCTTTCTCAGTTACCTTTTCTAGTCAAAACAACTTCAGTCAAAGCTAAAGCTTTCTGCTGTTCTTCAGTTTGCTCAAGAAACTGCTTTCCCTCAGAAGGGGGGTGATCCTTGTTTTCTCTCTTTTCTCAACTTCAGGCCCATAATTTATCACCACAAAGCAGTATTATAAATGAAGAAAGACCAAAGGAGTTTTCCATTGACCAGATAAACTCTTAACCTGGGAAAGATCTAGTATCAGTTTATCACCCGGGTAATAGAAGTCCAAAGAAAGCCCAAACTAGAAGGTTCTTCTACAATACAAAACTTTGCCAAAGAAAATCAACCACACTGACACATTCGTACATAAGCACATTTCTATGTATTAGCTTCCCCCATTTTTACATGGGAGAGGTGGAGAAGAAAGCTGAGCTTTAAATAATAAAGGTATTATTATCTTGAATAAAAATATTCAAGAAAGGTGATATAAGAGTAGGAAGTAAAAAAAATAGAAATCAAGAATAGTGTCATTGGAACAGACTTTCTGTAAAAAGGCCTCAAAAGAATTCAGAACAGTACATTCTCATTCTCTCTTTTTAACAACGCCATTATTTTTAGAACATGGGGTAAAATATAATTAAAAACCTGAGTACCAGTCCAAGGCATATTTTACTCCTGTGGAGTCCTGGGTGCTCTCTGAGCTTGGTTGTTTGCTTGCAGATGTTTCATTACCCAACTAGGTAGCATCATCAGCATGAGTGTGGGGTTTGCTCCCTGTTTATATACAGTAG